GTTTTCAAGAAATACTTGTGACCGATTCATCAGAATCGCTAAACAGCACAACTAATCAGGTAAAGTGATCTAAAACTTTCTAGATATCCTTAAAAGGCCACGCTATTCTCAAGTTTCTGATTCTTTCTAATAAAGTTGTGTGAAAGATTGTCTTCATATTGGCATATTAAATGTCACATAAAAATTTATCAAGGACGTTGATATGCTAATTGCCTTAACCGTTCTATCGCGATTCGTTTCTGGTACCATAAAGACGTTAAACGCCTTGAGTTTTATTTGCCGAATTGAGCTAAACTCAAGACTATCTAGCAACCCTCTCCCCACCCCCCTGATAAAACATTAACTGCACCTGTAAGATGTTATGAAAATGGAGAACAAAGCTGCTTATGGCTTAAAAACTGCCAAGCTGAAAACAACTGGATTTCTGAGGGTTCTTTACAACTCTTGGACTCCTGACAATCCATTCCGGCGGATAGAGGGTTTAGGGACATTCGCAAAGCTCTCGAGTGTAAGATTAAGTTGTGTTCACATAAGGGCCATAAAGCTTCATCTGACACTAGTCCGAAGCTCTTCAAGCTCATCTGAGTCATCGGTATCGAAAACCACGATCTGTAAGCCAGATGGTGAGCTGATTAAAAACCTGAAAAGTCACATGCATCACTGAATAGATTACTTTGAGGAGCAGTTTAGCTAGCCAACACATACAGCATAATACACCATCGACTATAGTGTTGCATGTTCGGTTGATAGTGACTCACCAAACTAAGTGGAAATCCGACGAGAACTCCAAGTACTGAAAAGCTACAAGGCAGTCAGTCTAGATAGTCTGTCCCCGCCTCTTCTAAGAGATGGCAGCAGGAATCTCATTAGGGGACTGACTAAATTATTTAGGATAATATAGGGAACTGATAATGTCCCATTAGTATGGAATGAAGCCATCATCGTCCCAGTCTTCAAACAGATCATACATAATACATGTGACAGTCATAGGCGTATTAGTTTGTTACCATTCACCCACAAACACCGGCTACTGTCTTACTTCGCAGGCTGTGAGAAACACGTGAGAATTAAATTCGCGAACAGCAGGTTGTATTTCAGTTCATGGATGCTTTGAGCACGTGTTCATCCTTCATCAGCTGCCAGAACACCGTCACTCATATTGCAGGCCAACAATCATTGTTTTTTTATCACTAGGCTGCCTCGATTCGTTGAATAGAATTGATGTCCGGAACTATCTATTAGATAGAAGTGGGAGCCCTATATGGAAATACCAGAGGTAGCGTGAGAGAATATAACTATCCCCATGTCTCTTTACCTTTGCCATCAATGACATTCTGGAGTCAGCTGTGAAGCATAATGCGTGGTAGTGGCGGTGTAGATCTGATTCCTGGAGAAAGACTTTTCGACCTCGAGTATGCAGACGATATCGTCTTACTATGCGATAGCGTTCGGGCTGTTCCAACCGCATTTGATCAGTGTTAACAAGTATGGTAGGAGCCTGTACTTCCACCCAACCTCACAGGTGAACCACCTGAAGGTGTCCACAAGCTCGCGTATGTGGGTACCTGGGTGTGCTGGCGGAGGTGTGACGGACAAGATTTCTAGCCGTACAGTGAAATCTTCGGTGGCACACACCAATTTGTGTGCCGGCCTGGCTGTAAAGGTTACGCTTACAATGCGTCCGTAAGGGCACACTTGCTCTACTTCTGTGAAACTTGGCCCCCCGAGGTGAGAATATGCGATGACTTTGCGTATTCGATCATCGCTGTCTTCGTAAAACTACTTGTATCCAATGGCATCGTCACGTAAGTAATTCTGAGGTCCGGTGGCATGTGTTTGGACACAATGGACGCCGACCTTCATTGAGTGTTTTCATCATGAAACAGTATTATTTACTGTTCCAATGTGTGATATTTCTGATAAATAAATAAATATGGAATTACATACGACCATAGCGCCTAAGTTTTACACATATATTAACAATTGTGCTAGGTTAGCATTCGTTGATGCATCACGACTGTAAATCGGTGCTTCAAGACGTCATTAAATATGGCCAAGAATCGTAATCAGTAATGAAAATGCTGTAATTTCCTTCTTTTTGCCTTTTCTGAAAGTAACATGAAGTAATGAATCATCCTTGGGTGATATTTACAAGTATGAGTGCCTGCTTTATAGATGTCTCTCATTTATTCTGTCCCTACCTTACTTGTATATCGTTTTATTTTTGTGTAGCGCACTTCTCGGTGCCTATAATGTACCAAGTATGTGTTTCAACAATGATAATGATAATAATCGCGCAAAATCGAAGTTATACAAGTGAGAACCAAGAAGTTGGCAGAAAAGGAAGCGAGGACTGAACTTCAGGTGAATGCATAGTAGACAGAAGTGATGATTGTACCCAACTAACAACAACAAGCACAAATTAACATCCACGGAAATAATCTAAAGCAAGTCGTCTCTTTCACTTGTACGAGTAGCATCATTCCAACTAAAGGCATCACAGATGAGAATGTCGAAGCCAGACTGGATAGGATACAGAAAGCAAAATAGTAGTTCATTAATCTGAAATAGGTGTGAGGAACTAGTGCATATGACACAAGGACAAAGATCCCAATCCGCGACAACTAATTTCAAGTCAGTTAGTGTTTCTATATAAATTCTACAATTAGTGCGTGCGTCACCTAAAGCATTTCCAGTAGGCTGTTGCAGACTTTCAGCCACAGCTGGCTTTGCTCAATACTGAGGACCAAATGGCTGGTTGAAAAGAATAAGCTCAACAAATATGCAGGAGGAAATTGAGATGTATTCGACATATACCCAGAGGATAACTGGGTGACATCACAAGCCAGACCATCGAGTGGGAGCTGAATGAGCAACAACGACTTGAGCATCAGAGGGTAGAATGAAGAAGATCATGAGAGGAGGAAATAAGTTTTGTGGAGCCAGCTAAAAAAGACTGCAGAGATACGAGTGCAATGGAGATGTACTACTGTGGCCCTATGTCCCTCTTGAAACCGAAGGGACAAATAATTAAAATTGTACATCCTTATTGTTTACTTCATCATTTATTTTTCATAGTCTCTGGAATCGCATAAAATATGCTCTACTGCAGAAAATAAGTCACTGAATGGATAAATTAGAAGTAATAGCACACACACCCCACAGTATCCATTTAATGTCAAGAACACCTGCACAATAATTAGTATGGATGCTTAATAATGAACTGTGTTCGCGCACAGTATTTAACTTAACACTATCAATTTGTCATTAGCAGTCACAAATTCATGTCAGTAAAAACGTCACGTGCTCACCAAAAAAATGCCGGTGTAAGGCATATATTTGCGTAATAATACTCCATAAAATAATTAAATCTGTGAATCTGAGGAACAACACTTAGTTCTTAACGAATCAGCATCTTTAGTGGACAGACATCTCATTTATTCCAGGAATTATAAGTAAGCGATGACTACGTAAAACAGAGTAGATTACATATTGGCTGAAATAATACAACACTGTGATAGATACACTTCCATCTGTCTTCTGATGTATCCCTACGAATTTATTAAACTATATTTAATTATTAACTTTATTTGCAAATCCTCCTAATTTTTATCTTCTATGTATCCCACTATTTACGTTTACTTCCTTTTTTATGTATAAATTGTGCAAAATTCGGCGAAGTTAAACTTTCGACACCACTAACTACCAATCAGCGAATTATCCAATGAGATTCACGAACGATGTCGAATTATCCAATGAGGTTCACGAACGCAGTTCAATGTTGTATAGCGCTTGATTCATTTCTAATGCGTGACCTTACAAGGCTGTTGTTGCAATTCGAGGAGGTTAGTGTTTCCCAATATTTCCTAGATTTCAGTTGCTCCGGAAAGAACGAATTTGATTGTGTGGTGGTATCATGACTTTAAAAAGCTAAACCAAATCAACTGATGGGTTTGTTCATCGTTGTGCTATATATTTGAAGCCCACTAACACTAGAGAGGGTATTCTGATAATTTTATTATTTCGTAGGAACTTTTTTCGCTAGGTCACTTCTCTCCCTAAGGATAGCAGATAGAAAAGCAACTACTCTTATACCTATTGTTACCAGAATTGTTAAGCGGGGGTCAATTATACACACGCAAAGGCTACAATTCGCTGTCATCTCTGGGATATATTCATCGTAGAGACAACCATTCAAGTGATCTTGTGGATTCCGTTACGAGGACACATACAAATTCTAATGAAGGATTTTGGGGCAGGTTGGGAAATGGGATAAGGGCTATAAATGTATCTCAAAAGGATCTCATTTATAGTCATTTGGATGAATATATGTACAGGATATGGTGTAACTTCTCCATTGACAGTCCCATGCTAAACTGGGAGATTTTTCTCTCACATGTTTGAGAAAGATATCCCATGTAACCTTTTTTATTATCTATTTTATGCTTTTTTCTATAAATATACATTTCCATTCATCATATATGCCTCTTTAATGTGATTGGTCCGTTCGAGGTCGTTTGCTGATTGGTTGTTAGTGGTGTCGAAAGTTTAACTTTGCCCAAAATTCTGTGTTGAGTAGTATTTTGACGTGTACTACTGATAAAATTTATCAGTAGTATATAGAGAGACACTCATCGGCATAAGAAACATCAATTAGCAGAGAGATGAATTTGATGTCAGAGAAAGCAAGTAATACAGCGTTGCGGAAATGCATGGGAAACGTGAAAGGAACACAAAGAAACACAATATGAAGGCCAAAATTAGTACAACACCGAAAATCTGCGCAAATGGTGATTTGAAGATAAGGCGTATATAATTTCGCTATAAATAGAGAATCCAAATTCCAAATAAACATTCCTTTACTGAGTCTCTCGTCTTCTAACGTCACTTTTTTGAAATTAATCTTGAGGTGATTTTCACACCTTTAAATCCCATGCAAATCGCTCTTATTCAATCTAATCATTCACACACAAAAAAAAAACTAAAGACATATTCATTTTAAATTGTGTAAGATTTTTGTATATATTATAGGATCAATCAATTACAGGATAGAAATGAAAGATAGTTTATCAAATAATTAATAATAATAATATTAACAAATAACAATCATTCCTGTAAGTAACAGAGAATAAAGGTAAAAGGTGAGTTAGCTAGGGTTTTGCATGCAAATAAATAAATAAATAATAAATAAACTATTTCATTACAATAAACAAGACTAATGGCAAGGATTATTTCTTCTCTTTCGGATGAATGAAATCCACTGTGAACTAAGTATTTGTTTTATCTCTTCTTCTAAGTATGATGAATTAAAAGATGAATAATAATAATAATAATAATAATAGAAACAATTATTCAGTGGGAGAAATTTGGAGTCATTTCATACGAAGATACGAAGTTATACAACGGTAGATAAGCGCTCATTTACATACGCAGGACTATAATACTTGATATCTGATACTCGTGTCTCTAGGTAGTATATATAACACAGCAGTGAGAATACAACAAGCAGTATATTAGAAATGAATTGTTGATAAATCCCTAATAGGATAAAATACAAGAATATGATAAATGATGCCTAGGAATAACACACCAATATATATCTGAAAGCTCATTGGTAATATGACCCAATTGACAAAAAATTAGTTTCACAGTTGAAACTGTTACACGATCACAGTAAAATTATTTTTAATACTACATGCAGTTAGTTGCTCAGTGATAATATGTACTATTCTACTACCTGACTAGTTGGCTGAAATAATTTCCCCAGAAGGAAAAAAATAGAACATCCTATATACTGATTAATTAATCAACTAAAGATGGTGAATATACAAATGAATTTTGATTGCTTTTAAGTAGTCTTATTATTATTATTGTTATTACTCGAAGCTGAACGTGAAGAATGAACTGTGTTTGAATTCCCATTCCGTTGTGATACTCCTTCCTTACTATTATTATGGGATAGAGCAACAGCAACAATCATAATTGCTATACATGTTGGACGTGTAGACTGCCTGTATAAAATATGATCCTGTTTAAATTCGATTAAAACTTCATGCTCTCGTGGTTTCGATGATTTCCAGTCAAGTGGATATAATGTAGTTACAAAAAGCATACGATTTAATGGTCTCTGTGTGTACATTTGATCGAGACAAACACGTTCTATAACACAAGGACCATCATCATCCATCCAAACATCATAACAAGCCGGAGGTGTTATCCGACCATGAACTAAAATCAAAATTGGCGCCACTAAACGAGATGATTCTGACTTTGGTTTAGTGAATTTGTTTGGCCATGAAAATTTTATTGTAGCAGAACATTCACGTATATTTATCCACTGACATGGTGAAACTAATCCAACTTGAACAAGATCAGCTCGAGTAAGCCAATTTCGAACTAGATTAGTGACACCTAACGACAGACGGGCATGATGAGCGACAACAAGTTCATGAAGTCTACGTAAACTATCTACGGAGGGTAAAATATTCCCTGATTTAGAATTATTGAAATCTGTATTGCTTGATTGATCAGAACTATAATGATTTCCAAAACTCGAGTTTATGAGAGCATTGAAAATATACGGTTTAGGTAAACTGTAAACGTCAAGTCCGTTAGGAGGACAAGGCGGAGGAACAGGAGGATGGTGATTATCTGGACTTTGTAGTTTATCTTGAAGTTCTGTCAGAGCAAGGTAAGATTTATTTAGTTGTCCATAGTTTGTTTTGGTATTTGATTGTGCAGACACATGAGCATTTAACAACCGCATGATAAGAGCGAGAGCAGTTGACCCTGGTTCCACCTGTAAAATACCAATATCAACAATGCGTTAATTATGGTAATATAATACATATGACAGGTTTCAAATAAAATAACAATAAATGAATTATGCTGCGAAAGAGGAAAACTGTTCCGTCCTAAAAAGATAAAGTCAGAAACTTATCATACGGTAATTCGGATTTTTCATTTCTTTTACTCAACATACACACTACACCATCATTTGTAAAGTGATATGCACCGGCATATTTCAAAACAAAAAATTGTACTGACTAAGGCTAGAAAGCCCAACTATTCAATGTGATTAAATCTACGTATCACCTCTATGATACTCAATGATATGAAAACGATATGCAATTAAAAATGGAATCGTACTCTATTTGATGATCAAGTCTTACTCAAAAGATGACTTTTAAATCCGACTGCCAGTCCCGTAATCTTTTAAATTCAATCATCGACATACTAATTGAAGGTAATAGGGCAGACAATGCATCAATTAACAACAAATGTTATGCTAAAAATTTACATCCACTTCAGTCTTTCCTTCTCTTAGAGTTTTCGTAACGCTAGAGATTATTACACACCTTTTTTTCGCACTTAAATTCAGTATTTATTTCATTCTTCAAGACAGTTTTACTCACGTGTACAAGTCAGTTTATTAATCAAAAATAAACTGGTGTATGTTTGCAACGGTGACGTTGGAAAAACTGGTGTGTCACGTGGAAATAAAATATTTTTCTCCTAAAGTATTTTCAACTTTTGGTGAAAAATTTTGTGATCCTAAAACGCCTTAAATACGGGACATTCCACGTATTATAAGTAGGTTAAAGGACAATCAGAAGTAATTACAATAAGACATCATTCCACTTGATGAAATTCCTGACTGTCAACTAACGTGGCTCAGTAGAGATGTAGGTTTGAAATAATGGTGAATATCTGTAGATAAAGTAGTAAATGATTTGTTTCACTTCGATTTTTTCAGCAGAATTTTCTATATAAATTTATGTTAGTGAATTGTTTGGGTCCTTTGGAATAGACCAAATAAATTGCAATTGTATTTCAATAGTTTATACACAACGATAAGTTTTTTTGTTTTGGTAATATTCCTACATAAAAACAGAAAATGACACCTGGACTGAGGTTAGGAGTTTTTTTCTTCACGTTCCCAGGGGAATATATGGCTTCAAGCTAGTGGCTTGAAGTTTCTGTAGCAGTATTTATTTTTTACACGATGGGGTTGCTAGCCTCATGCTCAACCTTTCCTCTTTACCAGCATTATTTCTGGCTTAGCGAGGTAAAGGAGTGCGTCAGCCGGAGATCGAGCCCCAGACTATGTGCATGGTCGACGAGCGTCCTAACCGCTGTGCCACCAAAGCACTTAGGAGTTTTGGTACTAGCAAAACTAACGAAAAATGTATGTTTATTTGGCGATGTCCAACACAACATACTGGTTAATCAGATGTCTTTATCATTATTATTATTATTATTAAAGACTACTATTATTCCCGAGTGGAACATAAGGTTTTAAGAGTACATCTCCACTTTGTCCTGTCCTCCACAATTCTCTTTAGCTGACCATAGATCCTCATTTCCCCCTCACACGATCTCCTTTATGTCACCCTTCGACGCCCTACTTATCGTTTCCCACTTGGATTCCAATTCAAGGCCTAGAGCACGGTATCACTCGACGGTCTCAGTATGTGTCCGATCCAGACGCCTTAATTATTATCACTGAAAATCTATTCTTATACAGAAATGCTACAAAATGTTAGGTAGTCCTTTGTTTTAGTATTACTTGTTTCCAACTTGTTTACTACAACCAATAATGATTATCCTCTGTACTATTGTTAAGAAATGCATTAAACAATGGACTGATATTTTTGTCAGCTAAACCTTTTAACACTGAATTTTGGAAATAAATGCGGTGAATGTTAGATAAATCGGCTATAAAACCTTTCACCTCGTGTATACAAACCCACCTCATAGAAATTTGCACCAGACAATATAAGCATGTTAGCCATATCGACATCTCCTGCTGCTATTGCCAAACCAAGAGCTGACCGTTGCCGACAATTAGGTTCAACGCAATTAGGATTAGCACCTGCATCAAGAAGAGCTTGAGCAGCGTGTAAGCGACCCAAAGAAACTGCTAGAGCTAGCAACGGCCACTTTGAATTGGGCTCAGTCACTTTATTTGGATCCAATCCTGAAGTAAGCAGTCTGTCCAGAACTAATGGTCTACCTGCGCCACCGGTAATACAAGCCAATAAAATGTCTTCATTGAAACAAAGATCTTTAAAATCAGATCTATCATCATGGGTTCTAAGTGAACTTTCTGGTGACAAAACATTTTTCTGTCTATGATCGGGAACTGAAAACAACTTTTCGGAGGGTGTAGTAGCAATAAGACTCCATCTCTGATTATTGATGGCCTCGAGAAGTTCTTCTGATGTGCTGATACTAGTTTGTGGATTATAAACGCAGATATATGGCAAAGACTCGAGCTCATTTTGGAAGTCATTCAATTGTTCTCCTTGAACCACTTGATCTTGATTTGAAATATGTGACAGGATTAAGTTAAAGTAAATATTTACAAGTGTGCGCAACGACGGGACGCTTCGCCCTTGAGAGTGATTATTAGTGTTATGGAGCTGCTCTATTTGTTCTTTGATAGCAGATGTAGGAGTGACTTCTTGCTCCGACTTTTGAAGAGCTTCATCATCCAGAGGCTAGTAAGTGCAGAAAATAAAATAATTTTAAAGCAGTATTACTACCTTTAATTAATCTCGTTAAAGAAAATAAACTAAACGACACACAATTACACACAAAGAAATTTTATGGATAAAACAACGCTCACCAACTACACTTCAAACAACCAAACTTAAATTCGCAAGAATGGATACCAGTTAGAGAAATTTTTAAGGTCGGCAGGTATTGGACAGCCGTTTCATCCTAGTTCGGGACTCCTTAGCACTGTTCAACCACAACCCTGGCGTTAAGAGGTAAGTGCATCACCATTCAGATAAGGAGTAGGAATCCGAAGATCCACTAAGTATAACCCCTATCAACTTGCCATGTGGTGCCACTGCCACCAATTGATTCTCAATAAGCATAACATTCTCAAACTTCAACGTTCTCGATTAGAACAAATGTTTATGAAGCTAGAGAAATCTATTTACTACTTTACGTACATGAAGACGGTAACTCTGTGCATTATTTAATATAGCCCTACCATCTGCATAAGCTAATCTGGTTTTCTAGGTATCTAAACAAATGCATAGAATGAAGTAAATGTTTAATACTCCAGCTCTTCCTAACAACTTTTACCATCATGCTGAATTGAATGTTACTAGGTTTCTGACTGCTATTACAACCTTCGTGAATTTAGAACTTGAGCAAAATGACCAGTGAATCTCCAAAAATTTAGATCCCAGAAAGAATATATATGTATATAATTGAAATCTACAACTCAACCGCCTACCTCAGAGAATATAACAACACTTAACATAATAAATATTTATGGCGAATTCGGGTATGCACCAACAAAAGGCACCAGCATTCGCTAAACATAATCGTTAGCAACCAATTTCCCTACTGGAGCTCAGATGAAACAATAACAATCACCGGTACAGGTTATTGGTCCAACAGCTTTTCTACAATGTATACACTGTACAGCATTCTAGGTATCAAATAGGCTATTTTTTATACAACTTTACTGTTCTAATATTTTGCTTCGAATGGCCTTACTCTCCTCCAAAAAAGACAATACTCGAGAAATCAAACATAGAACTCACACTTACAGATATTGGAGATAACCCCACATCTACTTTATTCAAAGAATTGTAAAAGCCGAGATCACATGATATGCTTTTTGATTCTGAATTCAAAATGTCCGACTGAACGGCTTTATTGTCTGTGTTGGAAGTTCTGTCTATGTCGTGCAATCTTTCATCGAATGAACCAACCATATTGTTATTAATACCAGAAAGATGATCAGAATTATCTGCAGCATAGACACTTGTGTGTTCTTGTTCATTAGTTTCAAGTGTGCAATTAGAGTCTGGGAAGCATTCACTATTACCAAAACATGAAAATGATGGCGACACCGGTTCGCGTTTTGGAAAGCATGATGCAAACGTTTCCATAGAAGCATCGCATTCCGATTCATTTTCCCCATGAAGACTACCACCTCGACTCTGAGCAGATTCATTGCTGACAGAATTGCTAGTGGACTCAGCAGCACACCGCTTTCGGGTTTTAACGCGAGAATAAAGATCATTTGAGCACAAGTCAATTTTTCCATCTCTAATGTCATCAAAGTATTTTGTCTTCAAGGCAACCAACTGGTGTTTTGGCACATATTCATATCTCCCACTAGTTCGAGATTTCGTGCAGTGTTTGCGTTTTATGGAGTTATTTACTTGTCGTTCTTCACTAGCACCTCTCAAGCGACCATGTAAATGGTGGACTGCCGTGCTTGGGGTAGAGGGAGGAGTCGGAAGTGAAGCTGGGGAGTTCTCATAACCAGGCTGATACTCTTTTTGCACATCTAAATTTTTGGGAGTCTTCGCCTTTGATCGATGAAAACTTGCAATTATATCCAAAAGGTTAGTAAGATTTTGTTCCGGTTCCCAACTGTCCGCCTCTGGAGGGAAGCCATGCCAACGTACCTTGTAGTACTTCTGTCCCTTAATAATCCTCTCATCACGGATACTTTCAACAACATACACTTCCTCCGAATCAGCTATGCTGTTAAATGAATTGTTTCTGTTAGAAGAAAGCCGGGAACCTCTTTTCAACTTTAGATGGCGTTTCTGACGGCGCCTGCAAACACGAAGTTGCTTCCGCATCTGTGTATCGCCAACAGACGCCATTCATCACATAGGGGCATAACCTGAAGACAAAATATCCTATTCACTCCATCAAACGATGTAAAGCATAAGTTCTTTCATGCCAATATTCTTAAGTTGTGCTGACTGAGAATTTTGAGACAGGAATAGCTGTCCACCTACAGAAGAAACAAATAAAGTAATATGATATGTGTGGACTTTTCTCATCATACAATGAGTTCAGTTCGCATTTAGAATCCAATTTATTCTGGAAAATTTAACTCAATAAGTCGGTAATTGTTAACGTTTCAGGCAGTAAATCGTATTTGGTAAAGGAGAGTCATTTGGCTGTTGCAACCAAGTGAGTTCATCGAAACCCATAGTTGTCACTTACCATGTGGAAGTCGAGTAATTACTCTAATAGACGACATCACTACCAATTACTATTCCAAGTGAACGAGTATTAACCATTAGCAATAGCTATCGGGAAATAAAAGATAAAATCACACACTTCAACAAAATATTATTCCACTCAACCAATTACTGTGTACATATAGGCAGGTGAAAACCTAGTAAATGAAATGTATATAAATAAGAAATGAAAGCAACTCCAACCACATATTATGCTTGAATTCGATGGATTACTAAAGAGGGGTACGGTGTGTTACTTCCTTTATGCTACTTACGTTAGGGCTATTTCAATGTCAGTCAGTGTAAGAACTTCAAGTAGCAATGAGCTGAATCAGTAATGAATTAAGTGTATGTTTCACTACAATGAGGCATGTAAGACAATAAATATCTAATTTCGCAACCCCTTCACTATGAAAGAATCATTTCACTATTCTTGTAAGCTTATTAGCATACTATGATGAAAGCACTGCACACCAACAATGCGCTTAACTTTGACCATATGGATGAAACCATCTCATGAATATAGAGCTGTCAAGTTTTGCAACATAGAGCTAACCTTAGAGGAAAAATATAAAACAAAGAATGAAATATGATGGAACAAACAGTGCTAGACCATCGTTTGCACGGCTCAATACAATACAATGACCGTTACGTCACAGATTAAGTATCATACTATGTGAATTAGAGAGTGAGAAAAGGAGATAGATGCAGAGACACTAATAACTGCACGCGAACGATAGAATAGTAACACCGGCAAACTTTACCACATACTATCAGTTGTTGTCTTTCGAACCGACAACTCTATTCATAGGGTTAAGAAATATACACAATGTTCCAACTCTTCAACACCTGACCGAAGGTTTTGAACAGCAAATCAGAGGTGAAGAACCGCGCGTTTAGAGCAGGCAGAGACGTGGCCATTTCTTTATCATCTTTATTCCAACTGTAACGAAGGAGGGTTTCACTCGGTCTGCCAATCATTAGACCACTGGTACCACTGCATTCAAAATCTAAATCCCATCACGTTTACCTCAGTTTGGGCACCAAATTGCTATTAACAACCGATAAATTATGACTTTGTGAACGACAATTTCTGTTATTCTACAGTTTCAATGTTCGTTTTTGATTGTCTATTTATTGTAAATACAAAATACAAAAAATGCTGCCTACCACAACTTTATGACTTTAATCTTACCCGTGTTGTCATATGATTTACTGGTATTCTGCCTTTAAGGATCACAATTACAAACGAATACCGCAGATTTCCTCCAAATGAAAAATTATGCACATTATTCCCTAAGGTTATGTTCAGTAACCCAGTGAGTAACAACTAAAAACAAAGGCAAGTTCAAAAACCTCAGGTAGATGACGTGAACTGAAAAGCTACACAGTATGTTGTATACTCATCTGGTCGTTCGGAGTTTCTATTGTAAGAACACTATTACCATCTGTTTTTAGAGAAGTAGCTGGTTTATGGTGCACTAAATGAATCAACTAACTCACTTAATTTACTTTTTTTTCTTAAAATTGAGCATTTTAGAACAGGCTAAATAAAATAATGTCAAAGGTCATAAAATTATGATGGACCTTCGCAGAAATCAAAATACCCTAATTTTTGACTTTTAGAAATGAGATTCACCATAAGCTGAGTGGCTAGAGAAAACTGGAAGTTACAAAAAGATATAGTTTCAGTCTCGAGGCCCTTGAAAGCGGACGAGTTTAAATGAGTGGTAGGTTGTGTAGGCAGTGATGAACTTACAATTGATAAATAAGGTCTACTAATAATAACAAAAGCTATGCGAGATTTTTAAGTGGAGAACCTGATAACACTTTTTCCAAGAATATAATGTCTATTTCACTTTTATGTCTGGTCAACTATGATTGACTAATTTACATTCGTCATATCTGTCCACTAGCTGGAAAACTATCTCTACACTTTAAATGAAAGAAAACTCTTCACGAAATGCGCACCATATGAAAATACCAATTGTCAGTCTTCATATGAAGACAAGAAACATATGTTTCTTGTTTCCATCTAAATGACTCGAGTGAACACTTATCAAAATAACTTATTAACACCGGGGTGGTAACCTTGATAAACGGCGCAAACCCAATGACATTTTAATCCTAATGGTAACGGAATCTAGGAGACCACCGTAGTAACCTAATTTTTCTGCCCTTTACGAGTTGAAATATCAATTCTGCGACCCTGAAACATCGTAAATACTTTAAAAACTGTTTTTTGCGAGAAATTTTGATTTGATGCAGATATTTTAATGTGATGAAGAGTACTTACAAACAAAATTTACGCGGACAAATAACAAACTCCTCAGAGTTTGAAGACGCCGCTAATGACATTGCTAATTAAAAGCAATAGACATGGCAACTTCTGAGACCTTAGCCAGAATGAATGGGTTTAACGTTTTATACATGAATTATTGTTTATTGAATTGATTTTATGAACCTCTATAGCTAACAGTCAGAAACAGTTACTAATCTCAACCAGAGTCCGGAGTAGACAATGCCGCCATTCCAATATCCACTATCGTTTTTACGAGCTAGTATAAACCAATTTGATTTCTTTGTGCTCGCTTCTTGATTGTAAGGTATAGGTTCCCGATCTTTGGTAAACTTCTGAGTAGCTTGTCCCGCCACTCGACTGTCGTTGCTTTGGTTGACTCCAAATGGAGTAGTGCTGGGATTAATTATATATGGTTTGTAGTATGAGGTGTGTTAAGACTGTTACTACTGTGATTGGAGTTGATCCTTTCGCCAGTTAGTCCTCCGGTATCGTCGACAAGAGAAAAGAGATAGTAAAATAATAATGCTAATAATAGATATAATTAGTGAAGTTACTCAGACTAAGAGACAGAAACGGAAATAGGAAAGCGTAGCAACAGTCAGCTGATTAAGTTTGAAGAATAATAAACATATATCTGTAATAATAATAATAATCATTTAACTATAATATTAATAAGTTGTCAGGAGAGTAAGACGGAAGAGAATGTAAAGAAGTAAAACGACGAGTTTAATTGTCTACCCCTGAATGGTGTATGCGATTTTAAGGGTATGGGCCATTTGGATGCAGTCCTTGTGTCTCTGCATGGTTGTCCGGCCTTCGCTTGAAGGCGTCCAAAGACGGTGCCATAACTACATCTGCCGGTAAGGAATTCTAGGGACGGCAGACTCGCAGTGAAAAGAAGTGGGAGCGCACTCGGGTCCTTGCCCTCTGATGAGCTATCCTTCTGGGATTTCCACGTGGGAGCCTACACCTACTCAAAGGCAGAACACCTTTGTTTGGGTGATTCTGTTCATTTTTTATTTTGTGGACAGTAATCAAATCCCCCCTAAGCCGACGGTAGCCAAGTGTGAACAAGCCTACTTTCTTCAGCCTTTCATCATATTGTTTATTTCGGAGACCAACCACTCCTTTCGTTGCCCGTCGTTGGACTCTTTCCGATAGGTTGGCGTCTCTTCTCAGCATTCGGGGTGCAATAATATTATGCACCTCAGGGTGTGGCCTGACGTATGTTTTGTACAACCTTAGAAAGAGCTCAGAAGTGAGTGCACCTATCGACCCATCTATCATCTTACTGCACTATAACGGCAGTTTGAAGTAATCTGTCTTTGAAGAAAGATACGATCATTTGGAGTACAGTATTGCTACGAGGGATTCCCTTAGATATTGTATGTTATTCGTTGCAGTAAACAATGTTGTATGATTGCATGGAGGATTGAATGAAGAGCTGACATCAGTTAGGGAACCACTGGAAAACCTGGGAGTACTAGGCAGCTGTTCCATCCAAATTTCGGACTCTTCGTCGGTGCGCGCCCAGATGAGCTGGTAACTCATCGAAAAAGACATTGAGAAATGGTCGCGCAATGTCGTGAATTGACAGAAGTTAGAATTCAAGGCCCATTGGATCGGGTCCCAGAGCCTCAGTGGTCTTCGAGCTCGCTTTGTAACCAGAAGGTCCTGGGTTCAAACCCCGGAAGTAGGCGCATACTGTTGAAGAGTCCCAAACTAGGACGAAACAGCTGTCGAGTACTCCCAGGATTTCCAGTGGTTCTCTAATGGTCTCTCTAATGGTCAGCTCATGATGAAATCCTGTAACCAATCAAATTCCTACAAACCAACACTTGAACATGAATGAGCTGCTCACTAGCGACTTGCCTTACTCAGGTAGTTACCCAGGTCACTAGTGAGAAGTCGTGACCAGTGGGGTGCAGCAGGTCGGGTGTGAGGACAAACACTTGCCGAAGACATTGGCTAGGGGTCGCGGTATGTCGTGAATTGGCAAAAGTTAGAATTCATGGACTGACCATCGGATCGGCTGGCAGATTGTTGTGGGCCAAGCCATAGAGTCAGCAGGCTTAGTCAAAAGAACACAGATCCAGCAGGATAGATAACCACACATGACTCATGCGTGTTATTTTTAGTCGAAGCCAAGCGGATAACAGTTCAGGGTCATTCAGGTAGCGTAACAAATTGGCTCCCTGAAGTAGAAGTTCAGGTGAGCTCTTCTTAGATATGACATATACATCGTGGATGATCAAATTTAATCTGAATGGCGTAATCCACCCGAATGAGTAGCCGTCTGCACAATTGTGAAGTACATACGATAGGGAATTCGTATTCCAGGAGTTTCATGGCATCCCGTCTTTTAGCAAAATGTCAAAAATGTATTGTATGCTATGACTACCATGATATTTCGCGATGCTTAAGAGTTATGTTTTCAGGTTTCATATTTATTTTAGGGAGACGATCGGTACATTTAAAATGTGAACTTAATGACATAAAAAACGACAATAAGAACTAACTATCACTAGGGATACTGGAGGGGATATGGGTGCTATTGGGACCATCGTGTCCGCGAAACATCAATGGAACATGGTTATGGGTCCAGTGGGCACGAATGTCGTTCATCCTTAGGTGGGGTGGAATTAGCTTCCGCAACGGTATCAACAAAATAGCGTATCTCAGACCGTCGATCTGCAACATGAATGAAACAGCGGAAAAGTTGTTGGACAACGGCATTAGCTGCTGTTATTTGCCGAATTCTGCATTTCCCCACCACTTGCCATCGAAAATGCAAGGCCGAGTGCAGTATTTGATAAGTCGCATTCACTGGTTTTATAGCTACTTAAAACGGACTTCATTTGATGTGTATTATTAATGACGTTCAATCCCGGAGTTCTGAATGGAATATGGCTTCGACATCTAGTTTTTTCAACTAGTTTCACAGCCTATCTCCAAGCTTCTGGTGCCTTTTCTTAAAACGTTCTGAGTGTTATCCTCGAAAGTCGAAATCTTTGCTTCTCACTGAGGCTCTCTTTTAAGTCCTGATGTACAGTCCCACTTAAAAGCAACTTTAGTGGCTTCTCAATCTCTCCATTTGTTTTGCATGCATCCTGAACGGTAGATTCCTGGCTGCTTCACCACCAGAATTCTACCTTGCTAACTAACAAAGTCAAAGGATAAAAAACAATGGAGCCATATAAAAGAGGTCTGAGAGTTGTATGAGTGTACTAGGATGATTATGGGCCATAAAGTTTACTTTGAACGTCATCAGTAAACAAAACCGTATTACTGTATGCTTTACTAAACCAATGTAGTCCATCAAAGAGTTTCAAGAAGGCTACAATTCAAAATCATCAACGAAAAACTAGAAGAAGGAGCTGTAAGTAACAGCACGTTGGTCATCAGAGTAAAGTCGGTGAGCGCCACAAAATGCAAAGGATACCGTCATGCCACCAGCAATTTGAGCGAAATAATCTCAAGTTAAGTTAGACCCTATATCAAAAATTCATGTCACTAACCGAAAAGCAATCAACGCAGATGAAACCAGTGAAAAATAGTGAAGCAGACGTGATTACCACACAGAAGTGGAAGCGAAGAAACGCCGGTCTGATAAATTTAAAGGAATCTTAAATCGACCGCAAAACGAAACTCACCACAAAACACTACCTGCAGGCACAGGACTGTCCGTGAATAACCTTCAGACAGGCAGCCCAAGCCGAAACTACTTAGAGAACGGGTAAATGGCCTTGAG